GACCGGAGATGCTTTCACTCGCGTGCGCAGCGATGATCGGGCAAAGTTGCAATTACAATTACGCCATCACTGATGAAAATAAACCCTACCCAATAACGCAGTGCGCCAAGATATTTCTTGAGATACACCTACCGAATACTTTTATTTTACATCGCCTTCCCGAATTGGCAATATGCAGGTTTGGCTAAGCGAAAAGGCTTTGGGTTTTAGTCAACATCCGCACTGTTCCTTGAAAATCGCCTCCAGCAAACGGCTGATACGATACGCGGATAAAAATTAAAATCTGAATAATATATTATGGGCTCTATAGTGTCTTGATCGAGCATTAGGACAATACGTATTTTAAATGGATCCAAAACCGCAGAAGACCAACGCCGCAAAACGCATTGAAACATATAAACGTTTTTGAGCCTTTAGCCCTATCGCTTGATTTTCTTAACCTATAAGTTTTCTCGCAACAACTACATGAAACGATGGCACATCTAGCTATACGACTCACTTTGGTTGGCAGATATTGTTCCAATGTGTCTTCATATAAGGAATAGCGCTTAAGACGTCTCACTAAAAAAACCTGCAAATATTCCGGAGAGTCAGAAAAGCTCAGTAAATCTCTATCTCTCCTGACACACTAGATAAAGACTATTCGGCGAGGTTTGGTTGTGTCACCCTACTTTATTGACACTGTATGGTTTGCTTACTTTACAATATTAGTTAACATACCTAGCTTAGCCGCTCGCTGGATTAGGAAGCGAAAGAGGGCGCAAGCAAAGTTAGAAGCACGTGCAGGGAAGCGGCTGAAAGTGGTGTGTACACACTCCCCGCGGCACAGCTATTCGCTGGATTAAAAGGATACGGGGAGTGCAATCACAACTGGGAGACCACGGAGGCAATCGTGTGGTAATTTGCAGCCAGTGGCCACTGCATTGGAACCGACGGAGTTCCACACAGTTCTAACAGCTCCATTACAAGTCCACTTGACCGCTTGCTGGATTAAGATAATAAAGAGAGTGCAAGCAGGACTCAAAGCACGCAAAGGGAACCCGTGTGAACGGATACCTGAAGTAACCGAGGCCGGCGTATAAACACTTCTCCCCCATTGTACAGTCGCTCGTTGCATTTATATGATACGGAAGATGCAAATACGTGATATTTGTAAGGTCGGCGTATTTGCATCTGCTAAATTATTTTAGGAATTTAACCATGTGTTATGACTCAGGTAGGGCTGCAGCACCAAACCTCGCCGACTACTGTTAGAATTTTTGTATCATCAGGTTAAAGACAAGTAACCGACTCGAAATTTAAGCCATTTGCTGGAACCTTCATTTGTGTACTTTTTCCTTCTTTTTTGTTTTTGACATCAAAACAAACTTTCCGTCTTCGATGAAGACAGTTCAATCTCATCTAAGAAATAAAACTGCTTTATGTATGCCTTACAAAATTTTGCCCCGTTTTTCTGACATAAAATTGGAAGAAACAGTAGCACATATTAGCAGTCAATCTTATCACCTGATGTCAAGGCATATTGGTGGCCTTTGTCTCAAAGAATGGTGGGTGACACGCAAACAGTCATTATTATTTATGAAACATGATGTTGGTTTTTTACGATTAGGTCCTCGACGAACGTCAGAAGTGTCGCCTTTGTCCAATTTACCTTGCTATGATTGGACGGATGAATCATACTCCGCACGTTTTCACCTCAAGTGACGTTTGGATGAGATGGTGAATGTAAATACATTTGCCTTTTACCGTGGTACTTAAAGTTTACCAAGACTTCATGCGTCGAAAGACAGAAGCTTTTCCTACTTTTGCCTTTATGCAAACATCAAAAATGTCTCCTTCAAATGGCGCCTAAGACGCACGAATTATACCCAAATACTTCAATTATAAAACATTGTTCATATATACGTTGCCTCAGTACACTAAAGAAAGCAACATATAGTACGGAAAGAGACTGTATTCCTGAAAAAATGTGAGGAGGGTATTGCCATTTCAAATTAAATTCAACCAGGTAGGGATGTTGCATCTTGCTCAGAGGTTTACGCACTCTTACAAAATCCTCCATACTCATTCAGCACGAAGACATGAACAGGAAATATCTACAGTGCCTGTTTTCGTTTTACGAACCATGGAAATGACCGCATTATACAAATAATTACAGTCCTGGAGAAGGGAGTTTGTTTAAAACAATCGTTAACCTACAATTCGGTGTCCGAATTGCATCTTGCTTTGTTGCATTTCGAAGATAAGGCCTTGACGCATTAACTCAAGTACCGCAACTGATCAAACGCATCAGATTGGACGGTATTATAAACCACCGCCTACGAATTAATAGATTAACTGTTCATCTGGGACTGCGAGGTGGGAATATGCCCTTTATTGTACAGTCATTCGGAGTTTTTGGACTGCCTATCAGTTAGTACTCGTATAAGAGAAAGAATTATACATCCGAAGTCCTCAACCAAAAATTAAACAAGATATTGTGCTAAACAGCTATAATAGTACTATGCAAATTAAGGTGACCCTAATTATTTTGAGGATTAAAATGTGTGAAAATTTAAAGAAGCACAAACAATAGAATTTACTCTACCAAAAAGGTTGGCAAGGACAACTGCTACAGGCCGCCGCATAACACTGATAACGAATAAAAAGTATAAAGTAAACTGGATTTGCTCAGAAAATTGATCCAAAGGCAGTGAGGTTACTACCAAGAACAACTGGTCTAATCGACATAAAGGACTAACCGAAAACGTCATGGAAGGAGAATGCAATGGTAAAGCACAATAGGGGCGTGTGTACTAAGGGACTGGACGTCGCCAGGGCAAGGAAATTTTGACAACGTGGGCTGGCTGTTTGTGGATTTTTTCCCCATATGTATGTATATAGTATTCCAATGGCCCAATATACAAGCTGTATTTGCCGAAACAAATACTCGAAAAGATCTTTTAGAGTTAACGGGGTGACCGTTATCAAGGTGATGTTTTATAATATAAGGACGCGGAATTTTATTTTTCGACTTTTAAGTTGTCATTTTGTCCAGCTAGACTGGACACATACTGTTTTATGCCTTCTTTTACTGACAAAACCGTGAAGAAACGGGTAGCAGTTGGTGGACTGTTACAAACGTTATTGGTGCGATTAAATTCTTTCGTTCATGTTTGATTTAATTCCCATAGGGGACAAATGCTTCAGGTGTTCAGAAAAATGGCAGCATATGAACGTTGAGGAAATTGTTCAGAAGTAATTAAGTACAGAACTTTTTCATGAAAACCTGCACTTAACAACCAACATGTCCGAAACATTTTATTTCAGTGACATTTAACTTTAATATTTCCATCTTTTATATGAACAGATCGAGTTAAATCAAATAAAAGATTGCAATGACCTACACAAAAATAAAGCCTGCAGTTAAAGTGAGTATTGAAAAAGACTCAGAGGACTGGAATAATCATCTCGAGCATTTAAAACGTCACTAGTTACCTAGTTAGGACGGCCCAGAATATGACGCACCATTCCTGTCGTCCAGTTTTAATGCCTGACAAAAAGCCACAAACCCGCAGGCCAGCCTCGCCTAGCAAGCCCTCGCGCGAGCTGGCAATTTGCGCGCCGCTAAGTCACGCGCGACCCTCCAGGGGTCGACAACGGAGGAGGGTCTGCCCATGTGGGCGCCCACAGCTGAGCTGGTAGGAACATGCAAACCAGACAGGGGCAGAACCCCCAAATACGAAGCCACGGACAGAAGGATTGAGAATTCATATGCACAGAATGACTGTCACAGTAGAGCTGTACCCTGCTCTCCTCTCTGTCTTTTATTCCGCCTTGAACTCGCGTAACACATCTATACCCAAGTCCAGGTTTCGAGCACCTAGGTTTGGAAAACGGAATCATAGGTCATTGATTCCGGCACTTTGGTTATCTAGCCAGCGACTTGTTGTTCCGACGGCTGCTATAGATGACATCAACTCGTGTTCTAAATGCGTTTACGGGGATTGATTGCTATATGGTCACCTGGGGCTCAATGTAGGATCCTTACATGCAGTTGCAAAGCTCTAAGAAAAAATTTAGAAGGCCAGTTTACACTTCCTGGTCTCTCTCTGTTGCCTTTGAGGTCCTTGAACGAGCCCTAAGGCATAACAAGAAGATCGGGTCCCGTAGCTCGGCTGAAGAGCGCACATAAAACTAACATTTGTAGTAAGAATTATTTTATCATGGATCTAGTATATGTTAACTTTGTCTTTAAACGATTTCATCAAATTTGCGATTTAAATCTAATAGAAATAAGGAACTGCTTATAGGTTTTTAGTCCACAGCCAACAAATACCTTCCAGTGTTCTCAGTATGTCAAGGCATGTTGCATTTATTCCGCAAACCTTTTCGGAGACTCCTTCTAATCCAAAACTTCGCAATAAGGAACCAAACCTGCAGACTACGGAACATCTGCCAGGAAGCAGACGGGGGGCCCACTGGTGAGCCGATCCCCTTGCAGCTATGTCATGCAGTGGCAGAATATCGGGGAAACACGCATGTATAGGCTTTTGGCTAATACCTGCGCTGTTAGTATTGTATCCCTTTACCCTTAAGACCATAATTCATTTTATATTTGAAAACGAACTCAAAAAACAGGTGAACTGGGACTTAGACACCAGCAGGGACACAAAGACCTACAGGTGGATGTCTGTTGTGTGTAGCCAGTTTGCCTTTCATCCTTTGCGTTAATCAGATGCAATAGGCATATTTAAAACTAGTATAACTAGTAATTTTATTTGAAAACACGAGTTAATTCCCAAAGAAACACTCTTAACCAGCAAATTAGCGTTCACATCTACTAAATTAGCAATTGTACAATTTCTCCAAGTCCGCTCATTACCAACTGACTGCATTCAAAAGTACTAGAAATTATAAACGTTGAATTTTGAGGTGGGCATTTAAAGAAGCCGTAATCGAACTGCTAGAAAACGAGATTATAGCCATAACGCCATAATGAGGACAAAAAGGCACATTGATTACTGCATGTTTCTGTTCTTTTCAAACACAAATTTTACATTCATCTTTAAGATGAGATAACGGCGTATGAAAGTATCACCTTTACAACTTTGGTATTCATCGTCCATTTGGTTGATAGCCTCCACAAGTCCATCAATTCGTTCTTGTAGGTCTTCGTTCTTTTGCTCCAATTTCCTAATCTCTGCCAAAAGTTCATCGGATGAAAGCCCTTAGATTAAAGCAAAAGAGTAAAATATTCGTGCTTAAATGCGGTAACAGCAAAGTTGTGTTATAGTAGAGGTGGCTCTGCATACAATCAAAACAAAATGGAAAGTAATTTATATCAAATACGCATGTTTGGGTTTCAAGTAGAACCTTATCCCGGTATCCTTTGTCTTTGTTGGTACCATCTCATCTACAACCTTATCTGTTTGCAGTAAAGTGTCTGCATTTTACTGTAGCATCTGCTTATCTTATTGTCTGTACATAAATAATATTTGCAGGAAAAACATCAGTATCAACTGGACTTTTATAGCGTCCATCCGCAAATACATACCTGTGAAGCTTAGGATTACAGATAGCTTGATGCAAAATAAAACCCTTAAATGAAGAGGAATCAACTAACGCAAGTTTTCTTCCAGTATCTGGGTGCAAAAACATTTCTCGCAATTATTTGTTGTAACTTTAATGGAATACGCTATGAAGTAAATTAAAAGCGAACGTTAAAAATGCGATAAAAACTTCTCTAGATAATAAGACATAATTTCTTATTAAATCCGAGCATAGGTGTGTTTAATTTAGCACGAGAATCTGCAGGCTTTTTCCTAGGAAGACACGGACTTTTAGAATTATAACAACAAGCCGCACAGGTCTTGCGGTTGCCAGTTGGTGATCATTGGCTTATCAGTGTAGCTTAATCAACAAAGCCGCTATTCATTTAAATATTAAATCTCCCGTTTCTTAACTTTTTAATCAGGCTTAGTCAAATGTTTTGTGTTTTAGAGCTTTTCGGCTGTCTGCTTTTTTTCAGCAAAAACAAAAAACGAAGCGTTCTGAAGCCTACCAATAACGAAAGGTACACTGAACCTAACATTATTCATACAAGAATGGTAACGTTCTTTACCTGAGGTTGCTAGTGAAACATAGTTGGTATAATGCTTGTGTTACGCAAAACGATATTTGTGAAATACTTTCTATGCAAAAGTAAATTGTCGGTAAGGACAAAGTCCCTAATAGTAACTAGAAGTTCTTACATTGAAAAAGAATGGTTAGTTAGGAAATAAAAACACATTTGTGTCTGCGAACTATTTTGTAGAAGATGCTAGATTGCAGGTTGGCCAATATGCTTGAAGATGAGTTAGATTTTGTAAGTACGTTCTCTTGAAGGTAAACCACCACAAAGTAGCTGCATTTTTATTTGTTGAGGACTTGGCGTGAGCATTACAATATTTCAACTTTGGTGATTGCTGCACTTTGATAACAATTAAATACATAAGGCACAAGTTCATCGATCGAAGTAGAATGACTATCAGTAAGGTGTTTTGGGCTGATGTGGGCCGGACTCAAAGTCACAATGCTTTTGCAGAGAAAAGCGAAAAGGGTGATTTTTCAGTTACGTTCGCAGGCACTTCCGAATTCTGAACATCTAGATGGACTAGAAGAGCAAGCGGAAGGGTGCGAAATGAACCCTTGCGGCTGAAATGGCGATGTTAACACAGACAGCCTCTAAGACAGCCGCTGCCAACGCATGAAAGGTTTTATTGTATGTGTGGCCCTTGAATAAATTTTATTTCATTTACTGGGAAACACAGTGAAATACGGCGTCACAAGGGCAACGTTATAACGCAAAAGGTCAGGAACGCAATCTTCATTTCATTATGCTAATTCATTGAGTGGTACGAAGCAGAAATATAATATATTCTGGAATTGTCCAACTATACCATTATTGTTACTGGAGCTGCAGTAAATTTTTAGTATTCAAAAGAATTACCATAATTTCTAATATCTATCATTTTCGACATCTCTGATAAATTATGACTGATGAAAAAATACGTGCTCTTCCTTATTGTGTTTCAACTTTAGAAAAGGAAGACAAAAGTTTTGTTTTAAAATAATAAGGGATTTCAGCAGCAGACATGGCTTTTGACAAGAACCGAACACTTTGCATCCAGTTTACATTGCCTGGAACAAATAAATAGTGCACTGTTTGCAGTTCTCACTAAACCTGTGTTATTAGACATCCGGTGTTAATTCCACGTTTAACTAATAGCTTTCTTGGTATTTTTGTCATTTATGCCCATTGTAGGCACCATATAATGATGGCAACGAATAACTGTTCTATTACTTTGTGCAGGTTGCCCATAGACGAAATGGTAGAAGCTGGATTTGTGGACTTGTTTTTAACGTTTGCCATTTTCTCGTTGGCTTTCAAAATGTTTAAATATTCACCTACACTCAGAGATGAAAATGTGACTTTTGACCGTCTTTGGCGGTGGTAATGAATGGGATTAATGAGGCGCCTATGCATTATATGGCCAAAGGTGACAGCAATCTCTGTGTTTAGTACTCAAATGAAGAATTTCTTGAGATGGAAATTAATGTCAGTTTTCAAATACTTATTCGATAAATAGTTGCATTTGTAAATTTGCGGCATAAAATTAATTCCTAAAAAACAAAACCCAGATTCCATTTATAAAGGACAGTGTCGGAGATCACAGTTCGTCTTGAAGTTAGGCGCACAATTTGATGAGGTGTCCGATGGTAAATTATCAATATTTTTACTAATATAAATAAACGCAGACGCGCATTTCACGAGTTTAAAATGGATACTGACCGAACGGCCTGTTGCTTACCGTCGCAGATCATTTCATGTTTTGCCAGAAGAGCCTTTTGTTTGACTGCACTCTGCAAAACGCTCCCACAAACCTCCTCGCAGGGGTCATCTTCATGCCCAGAGGTGAATTTCGTAAAAAATGTTGGGTCTTTTAAACGTAAATTAAATATTATTCTTTTTGCAATTGATTGCAATTTCTTATAGCGTCGAACAATGTCCAAGGATTTGGAGTCCATATATTCAGCCAGAAGACCGTCCAGAAAATTGCTGATTCGCCTCCACTCGACTACCAGTTTCTCGTGCTCCATTGAAAGCTCCATAAAACGAATGCGATTAGGATCACCAAGAACGGTCTTCAGAGCCTCAGTTGGCCCCTGTGATTTAAACATTCTTGACATCCTTCGTAGGCGGTTTATGGCCGTGTATGAGTAGTGAAGAGTGCCGAAGCTGTCCTTTTTATCCGCTGTAGCATCATAAGACGCGCGATTGTTCTCAGACGTTGATAAGGACTTAAATAACGTGGGTTTGTTTGTGGGTAGCACAGACTGCCGTCTTTGGGACTGCATTTGCCCGAATGCTTCGAGTAGCAACTGTATTTATAGTCAGTTCTGATCGGTCAAACTACGAATCAGGTTATAGCCGCAACTGCAAAGTACTCTACGTCTTGTCCAATCGCAATTCTTCAATGGAATTTTGTCACGCACGCTCACGCAATAAGCATTAACACGCGGATTAACAGGATAGAGACGAAAACTTGATCTGAGCACCGGTAAACATGGATAAATATTTGACAAAAGCATGAAAAACTCAATTATAACTGAAACATTCGCTCAGGACAGTCGCTCACTCAGTTGGGCTGCGAGACCAATTATTAGGTGAATTCTCCATGCTATAAGAAGACTATGGCGCATAAATTTTACAATCGCTAAATACATTTTACGGGTATGGATTCCGGAATCGCCATTTCGTTATTTATATTTAAGACTTTGTAAATGCTAATATTAACTTTTATGTAAATTCGCTTAGAAGTCTGAGCATCTTGTGCAGTGATCGAATTTTTTAAAACAACGTACTGACAAGCTGTTATATATTATTAGACTGTAAACATATGGCGTAAAAATTCAACTATCTAACTCTGTAGTAAGTTGCATTTTCTACAATTTGAATGATTTAAATTGCGTTCTTGTCCACTAGTGCATTTCACCTCGCGTTTTACAGAAAACCTACGTGTCATCAAAATCTTTAGATTCATGACCGATTTCCTTTCATTTAACTTGACACCAGATAAACAAATAATTTCAAATAATTTAATGTCAATCATTCTGCCCGTATCTTTTCGGCCGACAATAGTTCGGCGATCAGACACTGAAACTGATAAAATAACCAACAAAATAGAAATTCCACATCGCTTTTAGTCGCAGTTGAAGTCCCGTTAGTTAACAGTTACAGACGATAACACTTGAGCCTTGAAGGCCTTTGTGTTTCTCCTGAGAACCTTTGGGGAAAATGTTACGGGAGGTGGACAGTAAATGCATTGCTAGCGAGTTTACCTAGGCATCCTTGTAAGAATTTGGCTCCAGACAGTGACACATTTCATGAAAGTAGTTTTTTAATGTTTAGAAATAAAGACTGTGAGTCTACGAAAATATAATTTTAAGGTTCCATTCCAAATTATCTGTAATTACGCTGGATAGTAAACCTATCACCGTGCCCAAGGTCTAGAATGTCAACTTATAGAACGCAAACCTGATCTTGACCAAAGGTCTGTTTAACGTATAGGCTTCCTCACGTAAAAATCAAAATATGTTTACTGCTGCTTCTCATTTGGTGAACTGAATCGAAATTAGTTTCATGCATATTTCATTAGGGCAGGTGGTTTAATTTGCGTTGCTTTATGCGGTATTCTGTACCGCTTGAAACGTTGCTGAATCTCAATGCAACGTAGGACGTTCCAGTCTTGGCCGAAATTGGGAAACCAGAATAATAGTAAGCGTGCAAGTGATTAATCACGTATTTCTGTTGTTACTAAGAAGTATTGTCGGTTTCCCCGTCGCTTACTAGAGATTTGTTTACAGTCAGACGAATAACACCGCCTTGCACGTTTGGTCTAAACGTCTAGAGAATAGTCTACTTTCTTTCTCCAGCATCATCTTATCAGCTTACAGATTTATCACCAGGCTTTTCATTAAAAAAACTCTCTAGTTGTTTATTCAACGGTAAACTGATCTATTTTAATCTACTCCCTCAATTATACCACACGTACTGAAATATGCCTTGAGGAAATTTGGGTACTGACATAAAATCTCATTTAGAAATTATATTTGCTGAAATTTCCAATATGGCGATGTGCCGTTACATTTCCGCGTTGTAAGGACATTCATCATATAACATAAGCAATGCGCATAATAAAATATTTTTGTCAAGAAAACGTCTTTATCCATTTAAGAGTGACTGCCTTGCTCACTGCATTTCGCAACAATCGCTAGCGTATTTATTTCGCCTTCATTACACTGAGAGGACTATCATCGATTTTACTTCTGTGGTCCAAATATTTCATAAAACATGTTTCGATGTTCAATTTTTCAATATGACCCATCGGCGTATGAATTCGAAATAAATATAGAAAAAAACATCAATGAAAATAAAGGTATCAAACTATATCAGGTTAGAAACCACATCGTCCGACCATGTGAATGCTTTTGGTGACCGATTATACTGCTCTCAAATTTTGGATTACCGTCAGTTTTTCCCTCTTCCGAAAAAATCGTGAATTATGCTGACTATCACATCCAGTATTTTGCAGCCTGCTGTTGGATTTCATTAATATTCATACATGCTACACCCCATTTTGTTTCAGGTATAAGCGACTCCAGCGCATGAACACCACTTATAACGCTGAAAGAACAGTGTTTTCTTCATCCAATCGTCCATGTTGGCCACCGTTGACGCCCACAGATTTCTGTTGTCAGCATCGGTCACTGTGAAGAAAAATAATGGCTAATCTTTCGCAAATTTTAGTCCCAAAATCCTTTGCATGCCTTTGTTATTGCACGCGGCAGGGCTAATTCCCCTTAACAATGAACTTGATCTCGAATTCTCGACGTCGCAGACAGTCTGAAAATATGTAGAGTGTTTTCGGTACATAGTTGCCGATGAGTTACAAGCTCCATGGTCAATATAAAATTGTCACGATCGCTAACTGCTTTGAACAAACAAAAGCACAGTAGCTTCAATGCAAAATTTGATACGCCGATTTTCTTAAATTGACATATGAGCAACAAACTTCTCCAGGATACGACTGAAATACGATATTTGGGCTACAGTTGCTGCCACTTGGTTGTTTCATTCGAAATACACGCTGGCATTTTGCATGTCAAAGCAATGTGGCGACAGATTAATCCTAGAAGTTTTCTAACAAACTGATAAATAGTAGCTCCTAAGAGTAACAGGAGGGACAAGGAAATAATAAAATTAAGGGGATAGGATGACGATAGTTTTAGGTATATTCTAAGCGATGTACTTCGATATATGCGTTTCAGCGCGCGATAGATATGGATGAACCCCAAGAAGATGCTTAATGATCCTACCTAAGTAAACATAATTTAAAAGATACGACTCTTCGTTGAATTACATATCCTGCAATCTGTTCGAATAAGCAGGGATGAATAATTGTAACTATTTATAGTACACTGTTGCAGAATAAGCGGAATCAAAAACAATCACAATAGAAATTTGCAGACGGCATCGTACTGCATATTGTGTCTTGGTCAGAGGAATGCTGAAATTTACTTATTACCGCCAGGCTATTTTGTTTCTTTCTTAAAGAAAGTGATATTTAATAGTAAGCAATGGGACTTTTCTCCAGAAAACATGTGGTTTCGGCTAATAATCACTTGTGGTTTTGTTTTCTGATGATATGTAATAACTTTTTCTCAACAAACAAGACTTTAAAGGAATATGTATTTTTTGCTCTTACCTTCTGTAGGAATCTAAATAGGTTTACATTTATTGAAAAAATATCTCAACAAGATATTGAATAAATCAACGTTTAAGTGAAAATTCTTCTGACCGAAACTTTCTAATCAGGTGGCCTACGCAAAAACGTCGGCCGTCCTCACTGCGTTCCATGGTCTTCCGACAGTGATTGGCCGTTGGTGGCACCAGCCTTCTTTTTCTCCTTTTCTGATTACCAGTGGATTACAGTGTTTCTTTTTTGTATCTCGCAGACAGTCATAAATCTCATTTTTTGTAGGCTTGGATCTTTGAAATATGTGGCTGATTTTTTATGTTTTTGTGAACCAATATTGTCTTTTCTATGGCGCTTTGGATAAAAAGAGAGCGCGTCACGTGTTAGCTGTTTCTTCTCTCAACTTCTGTGCTTTCACGCAGAATATGTATTTCTGAGGCTCTCCCAACATACAGCCAATCACCATCAATCAAGGCTATACTGTACGAAGAACAAAGAGTTATAAGAAATACAAAACGATAACACATACTTAAGGCATTATATAAATCCACGAATAATGAGTAATATTAAAAGCCTTTGAAGTACCAGAAAGCAGACAGAATATATCTCAGAATAATTTAGAACAACTGTTGCAAAGGGTTTAAATACGACCGCTAATAAACCCCTTTGATCTCGTAACTTTATTTCGGTCAGTCTGGGCAAGTATTAGACGCCTACTTATCAGTTTGTCGGGATCAGAGTGAAGGAAGTCGTAGACACTTTAAGCTAAAATACATTTACATTTAAAATCCCAGCATCAACGCCAAATGTCGAAAACGTTTGTTAAATAATATTTTTTGTATATGTAAACCGAATCAACGAACAAACAGCTATTGATTTTTAAATATCTTTAATGGTCTTCCTTATGCATGGGGTGGCTTATTGACAAACTGAATTGTTTTGGTAACGGTCGACAGTGAAAGCAAATAAAATTCGTTCCACTTGTTTTAACCTAAAGCAAGAAATCTGTAGCTTATGGCAAATTGCCGCCCAAACAACTTTGTCATTCTGCCCGGAATTTCATCTGAATTGATATTTTGACCCGGCTTACAAGAACTTAACATTCATTTAACATTTGTTCTCCTTAAATTGGCTTGCGCAAAATAGCGTCGTGTTGGTTTTACCCTGCGTTCCTGTGAATGCTAACTGTCTTCATTGATCGGGGAAAAATGGGATTCTGTACTTTAAATTTGTTATGCACGCACTTTCGCAGTCCATGCATGGTTGCGTCTCTTAAAAAAGCCAGATTTTACACACTTCAATGATTGTTAGGCTAGAGACTTAATAACTCAGTTAGAACCTGTCAGATAGTTTATATAAAAACGATGAAATACGATAGCATCGTATTCGACAGAACGCCTTTATGTTTTTCTTAAGTTACAC